CAGGCTCGCTCGGGCGCGAGGAACGCGGTCGCCGGGTGCCCAAGGCCTGCGCTCCTCTGCGCGCTGGCTCCCGGCACCGTCCGCCCGTCCTGAGCAGGGACAGCGAGACTGATCGGTCGCTGCTTAGCCTTATTGCCTCTATCTCTTTTTAGACAGATTTCAGAGCGAAGAGGAGATTGGCTTTCCTGTGTTGGATGCTGAAAGCAATTTTGATGAGCGTTTAGGGTCTGCAATTAGTTGTTGCATCCTTCCTCTGTGGTAATCTATCTGCTGCAGTATGAAGTTCCAGTATGCGCTGCTGTAGCTTGGCAACGTGATGAGCATCTCCTGGTTGGGAAGCCAGTGGGGCTGTTTTTTTTCTGGCTAAGTGTCTTTTTAGATTGCTATATGTCAAGACTATATATATCATGCCTTGAGCATACTCATCTATGAAGTGATGCGGTACAATACAGGTTTCTTAGGTGTGAGATTTTAGGCTGTAGCTAAGTAGTCTAAAATTTTTTTTTCATTTTATAGGGCGCTAAAACTTTTCTGGTGTATGGTCATTTAAGTCTAATGACAACCAAATTAGTTTATCAGAGCTATTTTTAAATCCCTTAGTAGTAGTCCTCAGACTCTTAGATTATTGATAGGCAAGTGCTCCTTTTATCCTAGGTGTTTTAGTATGTTTTAAAGCAGGTCTTGTAGTATAGCCAATGAGTATAGGTCTGGTGTATGACCCAAGTGGATGAGTTCACCTCATTGCTCATTATAAAATTGCTTCACATTGCTATGTAAAACATACAGGTTCTGCAGCAATGTAGGGACACTTTTTCTGTCTTGTTAAGGAAGTAGTATCCTGGGAGATGATGCAGTAGTGTGGCATGTTTGGCACCTGGTTAGGGGAATCTGTGTTCAGGGGAGGGACTGTCTTGTCGGATTTGGGTTTAATACAGCAGTTTTAATAGTGATCATGGAGCTGAAGGGTAGAGTGAAATACTGAAACTGTGTTATGGGGATAACTGAAAACTGCAGTTGTTTGTCCTCGATTAACATATTAAACCATTGTTAGCAAGTGTCTACAATCATTTTGTGATTTCTGGACAGTAAATCCACTATTTATAGACATTCCTTCAATTGTTAAAAAGTCTATATGTAACTCAGTAGATATCTGAAATTATAATTCTCTCAGATGTTTAAGAATTAAACATCTCCTGGAATTACATCAGCCTAAATGATGTAATAGCTTGCAAGGAAATGCAGCATCTCTGTTCAACATATATCAGATGAGGAGCACACAGAAGTCCTGAGGGTCAGATGAAGACACAGCTGTTATGTTTGCATCCCCAGGATGAGTGGGTTGCACAAAGACCTGCCAGACCTTGTTGCTCCCAAGGTAGTAAGCTCATTTGTGTGAGAACACTGCCCCTCTCCTGTCGCAGTTTGGATCTGTGGTCCTATCTAACAACAGTCCACGGTGGTGCCATGCCATCTTCGTACTCTTCCAAACATGTTTGTTTACAAACTTTGAACAGGTATCATTCTTCTACAATCAGATGATTCCTTTTCAGATTTATTAGAAACGTGAAATATTTTGTATTAAATGTATCGAAAATCCTGGTTGAAGGTTTTTCCAGTGTTGGCCAATTATGAGCTTTATTTTTTGTGTTTTCAGAGTGGCAGAACCACTGACATTACAATTCACTAGTGTAAAAAGCGGTAAGACAAGTTTCAGAGCTCTAAAGAAGAGCTTCTGTGCCTGGCAGCTTTTTTAGTTTTCCAGCTATACCAGTTGGTCTAATAAGTTATAATACTTATTCATACAATGTGTATCTTTTGTATGTACCCACCTCCCCACCAAGCTGATAAGGAAAAAGATACATGAACACAATTCATGAGTGTTTCTTAAAATGGTAGCTGTTGAAGGAAGTTCCTAAATGAGATTTGTGTGGCAGCCTGGTAGAGCAGAAATAATCCCAAATGCTAAATGATGTCATTACAAAATTGACCACTACATTTGCAAACAGAGTTTGTTTTGATCAGGATGCCGGAACTCACCTTTGTCCATTAGAAACATTTTCTTTAGATGGAGGTAAATACATATTAGCCATGTTGTTGCAGAAGATGATGTTGATGCTTGCGCTACGTGCCCTCTCTGTAAGTAGAGAAATCTTGCTTTAAATGTTCTCATTTACCCTAACAAAACGCAAGTAACGTATTTGCCTTAGGAGGAGTTATTTGCATGCTGTTGGATTAAAAATTGGTTTGTGTGAAATTGCAGGTAGCTCTAGAGAATAGTAACTCTCATCAGCTCTAGAGTCGCTTATTTAAAAAAAAAAAAAAAAGTAACAGATTATCAAACATGTAGGCCTGGGCAGTGTATGAAACAGAAGAAATTTGCTTGCTCCCCCCTCCACCCTTTTTTGGTAATACTCAGGTTGTATTCGCAATCACAACTATATTAGAACTTCTTACAGCCCAAGATATGGTCCAGAATGACATCAATATACAGTACTAAAGGGGATGTTGTAAGATCAGCACACGCAGTACCATCTAAGTATCGCTCTGTTCTGATGGAATTAACTTCAAGAGGAACATGTGTCAATATTTTGATGAGAAAGGGAAAAGATAAAATGGATGCAACATTAAATAAATCCAGTATTTGCAGGAGTAACTGAATTGACAGATTTTGGAATCGGCTAGATGGGAAAGGTTCTCTAGGAACCTTATGACTCTTTAAGGAGACTTTTCCCTCTATGTTAACTGGCTGCTGAGGATAAGATTATCTCACTGTGTTGAACTGTTTAGATTTGCATTGCAAAATGTCTGTACTTAGGCAACCCTTTCTTGTGTGTTATATTTACAGTTTGCTGACCAGCTGTAACTTCCTTATACCTGGGAGCCTGTGTATTAGAACTCAAGTTCTGTGGAAACAGCCACCTTCTAGGACCTTTTTCAGTGGTAAGTGAAGGCAGGCTCTTCCCTGTCCGGCGTCTTTGAATTCAGGGTTGCAGTAGACCTGTAAATGTAACAGCTCAAAATTAAGCAAATTGATGGTCACGTGTGGACAAATATGAAATCCTTAAGATTAAGGGAGATGGAGTTGGAGTCTAGAGTGAGAGACCTATTCAGTTCCTGGCATTTCCGTAGATGTATGCTTGCAAATGATGCTTTCCTCCTTTGGCGTTTTGTTTTCCAGCCAGTAAAAGAATTGTATTTATCTGTCTCATAAGATTCCTAATGAGGTGTTATTTATCATCTCTCAACTATTCTGGAATATATGAATAGCAAATGTTGTAGCAACAACAACAATAAATGATAATGATTTGTTCAAACAACAGGAGCATTTAAGAGAAATAGCTCCCCTAACCACGGCTAAAAGCTTCCTCTGCCTTCCTTTTGAAGTGCCACCCATTTCACAATGATTTTATAGATATGGGGAGCCTTGCAGACAAACAAATGTGGACAGCAATTTAGGAGTTACCATATCCAGAGCGGTACTTATTGGCTAACCTGGAAGGGCAGAGCCAATCTCATCTAGGGGAATGTTGGCCCCCAAAGCAGGAATACCTCTGTTGGGGCTTAACAGGGCATCCCCTTGTTTATCTTCTGAGTTTTTTCCTCGTTATCTTTGTCCCTCTCACTCTGCATTGTAGCTGTGTTTGTTTCTATCACAAAAAAAGCTATGGCTTGCTTTGTTGTATTGACATCTGCCACCTTAATGGTCTGTCTTAATGTGTCCTCTTTGAGGATATTTGCCTTTTTTTAAGCCTCCTTGATCCTTTGACACTCATGCTTTTCACTGGGATTATCACTTCTGAGGAAACCTGTCTAACAGGCCCAGCAGAAGAGGAGCTAGGATAATAAAGTCATGGCTGCTACATTCTCTCTCTTTTTGCTTTTTGTTGGTAGGGGAAGTTTATATTGGGGTCTATTTCCGTCTTCCTTGGTAATACATGGTTTTTGACAAGTGTGCTATTTAAATAAATTAATATGTACAGACATTACAAGAGCCAAGCAGCTCCACATCCTTCAGACATGCCTCTTGGCATGTAAATACAATACAAATGCACCTTCCTTGTATCACATTCATGTCAGCACACTGGTGAAGCAAGTTTTCCCTTGCAGGCATTTTTGTTAAACTCTTAATAACATACTGTAAACTAGAAGTTAGTCATGTCGCAGTTGTGTCACTTTTGAGGTAAGCTGTATGCAAAATGAGTAATTTTCCCCATACTACCTAGTTTCAACAGCTGGAGAAAGAATATTTTGTAAACCAAATTTAGTCAGATCGACTGTGTTCTCTAATCTGTGCTTAGAGCAATCGTAGTAACAGGTGCTAGAGGAAAAAAAGCTTTGTGGGGAAGAATATATATATTGGAGCCCCTATGCCTGTAGTTCTAAAACTTTTCTAAACACCTAAAACTTTTGTAGTAAAGATGATCTCAATATAGCATATTAAAGCCCATTGACCATGGGTTTCACTTTCTTAATTACCTTCTGCAGGTCACTTAGTTCTGTCTGAGGAGCCTATGGCTGAAAAGTCTCTCTGCTTTAGAGACAATACATTTAGCAGATATATTGATGGTAGGACAGGTTTTATATTAAAAAAAAAAAAAAAAATTAATGGACTGGCTGTGCTGAGCCAATATACCATGTACTTTACACACACATTACATCAATCATTTAGAAACTTTTCACTCAAGCTCTTTTTCTGTCCCTGAGGGTACGTGTGTTCATATTGAGCAAACTTAATTTTTGCTCCCTTACCTGGACTTGCCTTTCAAAACCAGCTTGTGAGCTGTGCAGAAGGTTGAGTGGGATTATTAAGAGGTTTCTGCACTGTATCTTGAGCAGTGGTCAAAATGGAAATTTTTAAGTCCCATTTCTATTCTAGATGCTCACAGAAAGGAGGATTATTAAGAGGTTTCTGCACGGTATCTTGAGCAGTGGTCAAAATGGAAATTTTTAAGTCCCATTTCTATTCTAGATGTTCACAGAAGGGAAAAGCTATGTGGTAGTATTTGCATTTGATGTGCCAGTATGGCCTATAGATATGCCATAATGTGCTGTTTTAGCACTGAGAGAATGTATGTCAGGATTTGTCACTGGCAGTGTTTTCCATCAATTGTTTTACTTTCCTAATGGTCAGGAGTCATCACAGTAATGAAGTCAATATAATACTATAAATAAACTGTTCCAGCAACTCTAAAACAGTAGCTACTGTCAAACTCATTTCAGAAAATATTACCCTTCAATCTTACTGTTATAACACTGTTGTGTAATGCAGCTTCCTTTCTTAATGACCACAAAGTCATAGGAGTTTTGCGTTTTAGACTCTTTACCTTCCTGTCCAGTTGGGTTGTTGAAGTACAAGGGAGTTCCGCAAATCAACCATCAACCAAATGCTAAATCATTTATAATACATAGGATCCTCTTGATGCCAATGCTCTTTGCTCTGAGCTACATCATCTTTTTAACTTATAAAAATTAGTCTTACCGATGTTCTAAGCAGTTTTCAAAGGACCACTACTAAGAATGTCTTATTTTCTACAAACAGTAAATCTCAGAGAATGTCTTTTGATAATCACTTTTTGGTTAGACAAAATCATGAAGTCACTTTTATGCGTTTACTGAAGTCACAGTAAATTGAAAAGGGCCAGATAACAAGAGCCTATTACGTAAGTTTAATGGTTTATCACATTCTGCAACTCTTTTTTTTTAATGTTCTGTTGCTCTTGAGTATTCCTAGCAGGTGGGCATGGCCAAGAATCAAGCCAGGCACGCTTGTCTCTGGCTCTTTCTGGACAGATGTTTTGAAGGCGGTATGAAGGAGTTTGTGCGGATGTTGTCTGAGAGATGTCTGTAATGGTATAGCCATGCATAATGAGGCTGATAGCTAAAATGGTATCTGCTATCAACATGAAAACTGATGAAATAAAGTTGTATGTTAGGCTATGAAGTGACTGGTTTAGTAGGGAGATATCAAGCTTAATACATAATGGATAATGAGGAAACAATAGAATGTAACAACAGGTGGGAATTTGTTGAAAACTATTTGAATATATTACCTGATTCACCATGAGACATCTATGGAATTTAGACTTCAGCAGTGTAATAGGCCTGTAAGAAAGGGAAGGTCTAAATATCCTCTTCTGTTTCTATCTGTACTTGTAATTTTAATAAATCAGGAAATCAAAGTAGGATTACATGAAATGTTTAAGACTTGCTGGTGTGCTTAAAATGATGCTTGTACCTGGGAGTAATTATAGTTGGGAAATGCTGTGGAGAGGGAATGTTAATTGTTTTTTAATAAATAGTTGTTTGTAAAGTTACAACAAATGTGTATGTGTTGTCATATCAATATTAAAACTGCAAACAGCTTTCAGAAAACAAACTAATTGTTATATCAACTTATATTTTGTTTATATATATATTGCCCAATAACATAATAATTAAATCTCTACAGAGGAGGTTTTTTTTTTTACATTTTTACAGTTAAGTCTTTTTACGGTGGCCCAAAGAGTCTGTTTCTGGGTTATTTTATAAAACTGAATGAGTTAGTAATACCAATTTATAAAAGCTAGTATAGCTACCAATATTGCTATGTAAAAAAGGAATTAGATAATTAAATTATTCAAAGGCAAATATCCTTTCTCTGACTATTGAATAAACAATAATCCAACATTCATGTGTCTGTTAAGTTATTGTTTTACTGTGCAATAGGCACTTTTTTGGCAGTCGTATCTCCTTTCTTTTCACTGATGAAAAAAGTGGATCAAAACTTTATTGATTTGAAGATAGGAGTCCCCAGAGGGATTGATAAATAACTGATAATTAACATTGTAATTATTTGTAATGTGATTCTGATTTAGATTTAAATCTAGAAGATTTGCAAAGGGTTTCATTAGGAAGAGAAGATAACTCTCCTTTAGTTTTATCTCAACCTCTCTGTTGTCTCAACAGCTGCTGTTAAGAAGTTGTATCCTTTTCTAGAAGACATTCTTAATTTGGTCAGAGTAACAAAGCAATATTTGCACCATTACATCTCACTGAGTAGATCAGAGCATGCCTCAGTTTATGCAGTTTGCTTTCTCATCCTGCGTTGCTTTAATGTTTCAGAGGCAATGAGTCTTTTTCACCTACTGCAAAGAAGGTAACTTGTACTTTATTTTTGTTTGCTGTATATATTTGAAGGTTAAGGGAGATCTGAAACAGGTTTGCCTTATCTGTAAGGAGTTCAGATTTACAGTTCAAAGTCTATAAACATATGTTATTAGTATGTTAAAAGTCCCAAGCGTTTTCCTCCTGTCCTGGACTTGTTTCTACTGGCTCATCTGCCAAGACATGAGCTTTCCTCACATTCTCATGCTGCTTGCCAGAGAGCTGCAGTAGTCTTCCTATCATCAAAGAACACAGTGTTCAGTTGAAATCTCTAACAGTGCCAGCTGCCTGAACACGACATTGTTGCCAAAATCAGTAAACAATCTTTTTGTCTTGGATTTTGAAAACTTATTATGTGATTTTAATTTATGTCTGAAAGGTATGGAGTTTTATTTAGGCACAAAAAAACTTAGCAATAGCATGTTGAATGTCTTTGGATACCTGTTACAGAAGTGCTGTTGCACTAGTACGGAAGGGGGGGGGGAACAACTCTTCATATCAATTATTGACAAATTAAATTGTGTATGTTTGCTGTGCCTTGTGGAACACAAAATGGTTCTCTTGCACAGAGAGAGAAACGCTCGCATAGATGTAATCAGTAGAGGCTTTTGAAGTGGAAACCTCCTCTCCCTGGTTACAAACCAAAAAGAGCTGTTTGCACTGAGGGGTTTTTGCTTGGGAATTTGCTGGTGAAACTGCAGAGCAGCTTTGCTGACTTTGGCCCAAAGATTCGGTGGGAAGGGAGCTAAAGGCTTTAGGGCTAAAGAGTTTTGTCTGTCTCTGTACAGACATTTCTGTTTTAATAGTGATGCAGCTTGTCTATGCAAACCCAAGTTAAAAGGTTATAGAGTCTTTGTAAGTTTAAAATACATAAAATAGACTTACTTTATAAAAATTAAGCTGTTCTAAATTATCCCTGTCTGTTATTGAGTGTTGTTCTTTAGGTAGAATATTTTCCAGAATCTAATTGTAATTTTATTTGCTGCCCTGTATTTTCCAAAAAATAAGATTCCTTTTCCCAGTGAGAAAAAAGCTGTTTTCACATAATGCACTGTACTTTACTTTATGATGTATTTGCCTTCTCTGAAGATTTTGGAAGGAAGATGCTTTCCACTGTGATTGCCCTTTGCAGCTGTCCTGTTGCTTAGTAACAGTGCAGCGTACACGTATCTCCCATACCATATGCAAAGCTTGGGTTAAGCAAGAAGAACTTGGTAACGCTCAGTAAGGAACAGATGCAATAATAGTTAAAATTTGTTATTCCGTATAATGACCTGTACTACAGCAGAAATGTGCCTCTGTCCTGTTTACAAACCTGTACTAAAGCAGGTCGTCTTTTCCTTTCCTCTTCTAGTTAACTGTGTAATTTGGGGATTTCTCAACTAGAATGAAAGCCATAAAGATTGAGAAGCATTACGCTACACAGTGCTACAGTTGTTTCCTAGAAACTGATTATTCTGTACAGTAACAATGTAGAAAATCTCACGGTTGGGAAGTATGATAGAAATCCAGAGGCAAAGACATGAGAACTGTGAAACCCAGCCCGGTGGTGCATTCGGGCAGCTCATGTGTATATATTGTTGGGAGGGAAGAATGTCGCAGGGAGGTTGGGGGGAGGCTAGTTAGGGCTCGTCAACTGAGTCTCAGTAACTTGGTAAGCTGCAGTAACTGGAGTACTTAGGAGCATATTCCCATACCTTCTGCGTCACTGACCTCTGATAACATTTTCATCATCTCAGCTGATGTCTCTTACCCCACATCATAGCTTTATCTTTACTGTGCGTTTGTTCTGTTTCCTGAAGGTCTGTTTTTTTGGTTACAGACAGGAAAAAGCTTCATACTGCTCCAGTAAGGCAAGCCTTCCGTCTGCGCCCCTTCCATGTTCTGGTGGCTACAGGTGGGGGATATGCAGGGTACAGAAAATATGAAGATTACAAGTTGGAACAGCTGGAGAAGAGGGGCCTAGAGGTGCCTGTCAAGCTTGCAAGCGAGTGGGAGGTAAGAAACCTGCGATAGATTTTGCTTCTGCCACGTTTGATGCAAAACTACTTTCCTTTCATTCCAACAAGGGAAAATTTAGTTTGTGCTCTACTGCCAATGCCTTTTCTGACAAATCATGGAACTAAAGTTTCTGTCTTTTCAATAGCTATCCTTTCTGCTAAAATCAATTTAATGATACATTAGAAACTGCTGGCATCTCCCCCATCTTTTAGTAAGGCCTGCACGTTTTTTTTCTAATGCTTATTAAATCAAAGGTAGAGGGGATAGGTAGTCAGGTGATTGTTCCTTGACTGCGTTCTGGATTTTGAATAAAAAGATGTTCAGTAGGCATAGAATGATTCAGGTTGGAAGTGATGTAGTCCAATTTCTTGCTCAAAGCAGGACTAATGTTCAGTTCAGACTGGGCTGCTCAGGGCTTTGTCCAGTTGAGCCTTGGTATTCTCTAAGGGCAGAGATTCCACAGCCTCTGTGGGCAGCCTGTTCCGATGCTTAATTATCCTCAGAGTGAAAAACATTTTCCTTATAACTAGTGAAACTCCCCTGTTTCAGTTTATGACCGTTGTCTCCCTATCTCCCTCAGTAAAGAGCCTGGCTCCATCTTCTTGGTAGCTTCACGTTGGATATTTGAAGGCTCCTTTTAGGTCCCCCTAAGCCATCTCCAGGCTGAACAAGCCCAATTCCCTTAGCCTCACAGGCCGTTTGCTCCAACCCTCCGACCATCTTGGTGACCCTTCACTGGACATGCTCAAGTTCATCAGTGTCTTTCTTGACCTGAGGGGCCTAAAACTGGACACACTATTCCAGATGTGGTTTAATGAGCACAAAGTAAAGAGGAACAGTTACTTGCCTTGAGCTTTCCTTGGCTTCTGCTCCTGTTGATACAGCCCCGTATGCTGTTGGTCTTCATTGCTGCCATGGCACGCTGCTGACTCATTTTCAACCTACTGACCCCCAGCACCCCTAGAGAGCATAAAGCCATGGTAACTCTGAAGAAGCTGTGACTCTGCTCAGTGCAGCACACGTTCTCGTTTTCCCCACCTTGCATTGCAAGATAGCAAATTGTTAAGCATGTTATAAAGTTCATAGAAATAAATACAGAAATCAAAATAGACAAATTTACAGAATTTGTTGATAATTCTGTATTGGTGTGAAATCAACATAAGACTACCAAAACCATCTTTGAGATCATTTAGCAGGAATTAGTAATTCAAGACTGAAATTACGTATGATAGCATTCAAAAAAAGCATTCAGTGCTGAGTTTATTGTCCTAGTAGTTCTAGCTGTGGGTACAGTATGTGCTGTAGTTGTAGGGATTTCTTATCTTCCCACTAACTGCTGAATCTACTTTTGGCAGTTTGCTTACTTTCTTTATGCCTTCGTGCCTTATACGCTTTGCAAAGAAGCTGAGACTGAATTAATATCTAATAATTAAAAACCTACCTGGTTTCTTTGTGAATATGTAGTGAGACTTTTCCTTAAGGTAACCCTTAAATCTGCAATGATTCTTGCTGATCCTGAGGGATTTTTGCCTTTTCTTTCTGGACTTCAACAAGTTTGGTAGCTATTGTGGAATTGGACTGTGCATATCAAATTCTTGAGTCAAAGGTTCACTGCAACACTGAAGTGAGAAATATTTCATGGCTTCAAAGAATTGCTACATCTCCTTTGAAATGTCAAGTATATCGTACAGCTCAGTGTTAGACAGTTAAAAATAGATGTGATAGTCTGCGGAACAGCCAGGTGAGTGTCTGCTTCGGTGGCATTTCTGAAGGTGAGGAGTTTAAAAACAAACAAACAAACAAACAAAAAAAACCCGAAAAAACTAGGATTGTGTAGGAGATGCTTCAGTGTGACCTTTAGCACCCCCTGCTTCTTTGCATTCCTGAGCACTCTGCCAGTTCGTGAGTGGTTTTGGCCACATGCCTATAGGGGACTTGACTGGAATCCTTAAATTCATTTTCATTAGTGACCCAAAACAGATATGATACAGAGGGTCTGGATGCTTGCAGCTTAGGCTATGATAGCTCCTGAGGAATTTGTCTGAAAATATGTTTTCTATATATTTTTCTCCTGCT